GTCGACGAGGTTCCCCCACCTGGGGCGAACATCGTCAGTGGCATGTGGATTTTCAGGGTGAAGCGGCCGCCGGGTTCTCCGCTTGTCTTCAAGGCGCGTTACGTGGCTCGAGGCTTCAGTCAGCGGCAGGGAGTTGACTACTTTCAGACCTTCTCTCCCACCCCGAAGATGACCACTCTTCGGGTGCTGCTGCACATAGCCGCTCAGCGCGACTACGAGCTTCACTCTCTTGAATTCAGCACTGCTTTCCTACAGGGCAGCCTGCACGAGGAGATCTGGCTGCGCCGCCCACCTAGCTTCACTGAGTCGTTTCCTCCTGGTACCCAGTGGAGCCTCCGGCGGCCAGTCTACGGTCTCCGCCAGGCGCCCCGTGAGTGGCACGACACACTGAGGACTACACTTGCGGCACTTGGGTTTGCTCCTTCTACTGCCGACCCGTCGCTGTTTCTACGCACCGACACCTCTCTGCCGCCGTTCTGCATCCTCGTGTACGTCGACGACTTGGTCTTTGCTACTGCTGACACTGCTGGACTCGCCCACGTGAAGTCCGAGCTGCAGAAGAGACACACGTGCACAGACCTGGGTGAACTGCGCAGCTATCTTGGCTTGCAGATCACCCGGGACAGAGCACGGTGCACCATTACCCTGACTCAGTCACACATGGTGCAGCAGGTCCTTCAGCGCTTCGACTTCACGTACTCCTCGCCTCAGGCCACTCCTCTGTCTACTCGCCACTCGCTCTCAGCTCTGCCTTCGGATGAGTCCGTAGAGCCGAGTGGCCCGTACCCAAAGCTTGTTGGTTGCCTCATGTACCTGATGACCTGCACTCGACCTGACCTGGCATACCCTCTTAGCATCTTGGCACGCTATGTTGCTCCTGGGAGACACCGACCAGAGCACATGGCTGCAGCGAAGAGGGTGTTGCGCTACTTGTGCAGTACGTCGGGCATGGGGCTCGTGCTTGGAGGGCGAAGTTCAGTGGTCCTCACTGGTCACGCAGACGCGTCTTGGGTTGACGACCTGGCTACGCAGCGGTCGTCACAGGGTTACACCTTCAGCCTTGGTTCCGGCTCTGTTTCGTGGCGGTCTACCCGCTCGTCTTCTGTTCTCAGCTCCAGCTGTGAGGCTGAGATCTACGCAGGGGCCATGGCTGCACAGGAGTTACGCTGGCTCACCTACCTGCTGACTGACCTGGGAGAGCCGCCTCGTTCTCCTCCAATTCTGTATGTAGACAACAAGGCCATGCTGGCCTTGTGTCGGGAGCACAGACTGGAGCACAGAACGAAGCACATTGCTCTTCGCTACTTCCTTGCTCGTGAGCTGCAGCAGCGTGGTCAGCTGCGCCTTGCTTACGTGGCCTCTCAGGCCAACACTGCTGATATCTTCACCAAGGCACTTCAGCCTTGTGATCATCAGCGCTTCTGTACTATGCTAGGTCTTGTGCCTACTTGGCCTCACTTGCTTACCTCTTGACTTTGCTTGTACTGTGATCTATATATACCTGCACCTGCATGTTTACCTTTATATATAATCCTGCATGTGAACTGGCCTTGTGGCCTTTGAACCTGTGCTCGGAATGTGTGGTGACGTTGTGATCCACCCTGAGCTTGCTTTGCTTTGCTTTGCTTGACTGGTCTTGTGACCCCTTGTTCTCCCCCACTTTGCCTATGGGGGTGTGTCAAACTTATATGCTATAGTCTATCTAGGCTGTAGTGGGGTAGACACTATAGGGTACACCACTTCTAGGTTTCCTACTTGTACCCACTTCTTCCTTAGTCATCCCCATTCCTCTTTCTTCACATATCCTTCGGCCAGCAGTCCGGCATGAAGAGCTTTGCGCCGTCCAAACTGTCGAGGTCTTTGAACCTCTCCTGCAGGTGGTCCACTACCGCAACCGCATAGGAGCGGCAGGTGTTGATGCAAGTCTCCAGGTCGCCTGGCGTTTTGCTGTACCCTTTCAGCGGCTCCTCGTGCAAGTCAAAGCTGTGTTTCTGCGTGCTTCCGTCACTGTCAACGCCTTCCACCTTGACGGTGCGGCTGGATGAGAGACGCTTGAGGAAGGGCGACAGGCGCTTGCTTGTCTCCGCGCCAAACTTTGGCCCACTGTCGATGTAGCGCTCTCGCATGAAGATGAGTGTGCGGCGGACCAGGGACTGCCCGCCAGTGAGATCAACCTGCAGGTGGGCGAGGGACGCAGAATGCAGCAAAGAGGAGATAGCGAGTAGTTTGTTGAAGAGGGCATGGGAATCATGACCAGTACCACTGGACCACTCACCTCGCGTCGCTAAAACAGAAGGTTGAGGTTGTTGAGCTCCGCCAGGACATCAGCGAGGAAGAAGAGGTACACATGGAACTTCAGCGAGGTTACGGCGTGGTAGGTGGCAGTGTCGTACTTCTGGAGAAGCACAATCATCGCGGGTAGGACTTCGCAGAGTCTCTCCACTGCCTGGCCCCGACTCAGCCAACGGACATCCTGAATGCCCTGCATCTCCAGGTTCGTGTGCAAGAACGTCTCCTGGAGACGCATAAAGACACCGTGCCATGGGTGTGATTTCCCGAGGATGCCACACACCGCACGGAGTATGACGTCAATCAAGCCAACATCTGGCTCCACCAACGCAGCATCCTTGGTTGCGAGAGCTTCTCTGCCACGGACAGAGAAAACCAACAGGGATATCAGTTTCATAAATCCCAATGCCTTGAGGCAGGAAAAGATATTCACTCACCGATGAGCGACACAGTGGGTGCCAACGAGATGAGGCAGGCGCTGTCGAAGCCGCGCGACCAAACCGCCAGACGATCCCAACATGACCGGTGCGCCGTCCGTCGCAATACCTGCTATCCTGTTCAGGTCTAGGCCAATGGTCTCTAAGTGTGAGAGGAGCACGGAGAGGAGAGAAGCAGCATCGCACTTGTCAATGGTGAGCAACGACAAGAACTCAGTAACGACCGCACGCTCTCGCAGAAAAGTGATGAACACTATCATGTGCTTGCCGCGCACACGATCCGTGCTCTCGTCACAAGTGATCCCGAGGAAAGGGGACTCATCGATGTGTTCTCGCTGGCACGCACGGAGGTATGTCGCAGTGGCACTCGTGAGCTCCTGGAAGCCATACCTGGAACAAAGCACACCACGTCCTGCTGGTTAGAAAGCAGTGGAAAACTTAAACGGCAAAAGCGTGTCATTCGGACAAGACTTACGTGGTGTAGTAAGCACCGTAGCCTTTCTTAGGAAAACCAGGAGTCTGGCGTTCGGCTAGATGCTTCACCAAGTCGACCCACATCTCGATCGGTGCGTCCTGTTGGCATATGAAGAGCAGGGTCACGGCCAGGGCGATCACACGCTCCTTCTCGATGTCGTACACCGTGGGGCAGTCGTCAAGCAATGTCTGTCCCTTTGCCTTCCTCTCTGCGTTTTCCTGCTCCTTCAAAGCACGTTTGTGCTTCCTCGTTCTCTGGTGTGCTCGGAACGCTTGGGTCTGAATGTCAACTGCACCATGCCCTGCGCGGCCGAATTTCGTTCCTGTCACACCCTGAGCCACACATACACCGCATTTCACGGAGGGAAATTCGTCAGGTTGCTGACACAAAACAAGCCACGGGAAATCACCCGACCACTCTTTCGTGTATCGGTACAGGGCGTCCTGATACTTCAACTCTGCCTCGTCGACAAGCAGAATGGATGAGTTGGAGGTGGAAGGATTTGAGGGGCCTGCGATTGGGGACGGTGTCGCGGTTGACGCTGAAGGTCCAGCGCAGGCACGATGGAAGGTAATCTGCGCTTGCCGAAAGCGCATCGTGCCGTGTCTCAGCCCTACTCTCACGCCCATCCGCCTTGCTGGTGTCGGCCGTGACGTAGACGCGGGAGGAGGCGACACCTCGCCATCCTGCCCGTCTCAGCGGTAGAGTAGAGCCGCGTTTCAGAAGTCGGCGCAGCCCTAGTTGATAGATCAGGCTGAGAATCAGCCTGAGCAGGAGTTGAGGCCGAGGGTGGTACCGTGGGACGAAGGGCCCCTCTAATAGCGTGCTGGGTGGAAATCGCACCAGGGAGACGAGTGCGGGCCATGTTAACGATAGCGCTTGCAGGTCGGAGGACGTCAAGGCCCGTAAGGCCACGACTGCTGTTGTTAACAATCGGAGCTAATACATGATCTGTGTGGGTGGGAGGCGGGCTAGAGTCCACCATGGCGATCGAGAGGTATTCAGTGCGGATTCCCAGAGCAGAGCATAGTGTTTGCAACCACTGCAGAGCAGAGCCTGCCGAGCAAAGAAGAGACGTACTGAACAGATGGAAGTGCGTGGTGAACGAGGTGGCCAGGTGCCACCAACATGCACTGCACTGGCTTGAGATGGGTGGGGTGATGGGAGTTGGAAGGCGCCTTGGGCAATGCCAGCGCACTGAGGCAACACGCGGGAACTTGACTCACAATGTGCTACGATTGGTCAACTAGGGACGTGCAGCAGCAGACGTGTTAGTGGTGGGTGTGAAGGGGGTACTGTAACGGGCAGTCACGCCTGCCCCATCACTGTATGTTGCCCCATGTGGGCCAATTTGTCGCCAATTTGAGTGGTGGTGGGCGACTCACGTGTTTCGGCGCCAACTCTCGGAAATCAAGGACTGGGGCCCCTAGGCGCACAGTGTAACCGTTTCAGGGTACGCCATACAAGAACCCTGACGCCTCAGGGCAGGCAGGTGTATACTACTCTGAAATCTCAGGGTGATATAAAACTGAAATCTCAGGGCTGAAAAAACCAAGACCCTGATTCTTCAGGGCAAGGGGGTTATGTCAACCCTGAAATCAGGGTAATCAGGGTATTTTACCCTGATATCAAGGGCCCTGACAACGCTACCGATTGCTACTTACAAGTTATACAGCCCTCATTCGAACACTCAAAATCCCCTTGCCAATTTCAGGTGTGGTATCTGAGCCCCTACAGAGCGCCGCTGCAAAGGCGAGTGGAGTAATACGATGGAAACCTTTTCCAAACTGCCCGAATCTTCAGGCACTATCCTTGTGCTTCTTGCACGAGTGGGCAAGAGGCAGAGGAAGAGAGGGCTGGTGCGGAGCAGCCTGAGATGGGAGGGGCTTGGGGCGGAACAAGAGGCCCTGCAGCACAGTCTGGGCTTCTGAGAGCTGCCTGCGGTGTGTGCACTGGGGAGCAAGGGGGGTTGGGGGGGAGTGAGCAACGGATAGGGGAAGAGAAGGATGTTGAGGAGCAGAGTGAGGTGGAGGAAACAAGAGGCCCTGCAGCACTCTCTGGGCTTCTGAAAGCTGCCTGCGGTGTGTGCACTGGGGAGCAGGTTTGGAGGATGGGAAAGAAGAGATGAGTGGGTACGTGTGGGGAGGAAGAAGAGGAGCATCGCACACAGCTTGCATTGGATAACATTGTGCAAGGCCTGTACCATCATGCCTTGCAGAACATTGTGCAAGGCCTGTACCATAACGCCTTGCAGAACATTGTGCAAGGCCTGTACCATAACGCCTTGCAGAACATTGGATTGCACTGCAGATGTATGCATGAATACTCCATCCACGTGTCATTTAACACATACTCTCATCCACACCCCCTCATCCACCGCACTGCAACCCTCCTCACCACACTGGACTCCAGGCCTCTCAAGGTGTGTGAGAGCAGAAGAGCGTCCTGCCGCAGTGCTGCCAGCCTCGCCACTGCATTCACAGGCATCTGCCCCACCAGCTGCTGCCGCTGCTGCACCACGTTCCTCGGCTCCCACACTTGCTCTGGAGCATTGCCTGCTGCCCTGTGGAGGAAAGGGAGTGCGAGGGTGGGTGGGAGCTAATGAAGTGCTGTGAGCCTGCCTGCCCCACCAGCTGCTGCTTCCATTACAGCACCACGTGCCTCGGCTCCCACACTTGCTCTGGCGCAATGCCTGCTGCCCTGAAATGGATTGAGAGCGTGGATGAAAGGAAATAATGTCAAGCCGCTGCTGCACCACGTGCCTTGCCGTGCCGAGGAGGAGGAGGATGAGGAGGAGGAGGAGGAGGAGGAGGAGGAGGAGGAGGAGGAGGAGGAGGAGGAGGAGGAGGAGGAGGAGGAGGAGGAGGAGGAGGACCAGCAGCAGCAAGAAGGCGCTATCATACACTGCCATCCTGTCTCCTTCAGCTTCAGCAGTCCCCGTCCCTGCAAACGCACTCAAAAGCCAACTCACAACTCTTCTCACACTCTCCCTTCCTCACACTACCTCGAATGCACTCCCTCGCAGCCCTTTCATCACATGTCACACTGCCCCCACTTACATCATCCGCTCAAGCCTCTTCGCCTCCTGCACTCCCCCAGCCAGAGTCACTCTCACCCGTTGCCTCTCCTCCTGTGCAGCAGTGCCCCCTGTGCGCTGCATCATTCATACCCCATGCATGCACGACTGGAAAACACACTCAACAACCTTGTCACACTTTCACTTCCTTGCACTCCCTCGCTTCCACTCCCTCATTTCCCGTCCACATGCCACACTCCCCCCACGCACATGATCCGCGCAAGCCTCCTGGCATCCTGCACGTTTCCCCCCAGCTCTGCTCCCACCCGCTGACTCACACCCCGCCAACACCACGTGCCACACTACCCCCTCCTCACTCACATCATCCGCTCAAGCCGATTGGTTTCCTGCACGCTCCCAGCCAGAGCCGCTCTCACCCGATCCCTCACAGCCTATCAACACCACGTGCCACACTCTCCCTTTTGCACTCACATGATCCGCTCAAGCCACTTTGCTTCCTGCACGTGACGCTCCCAGCCAGCGCAGCGCTTCACTTCCACTCCCCCACAGCCCATGCACACGCCACACTCCCCCACAGCCCATGCACACGCCACACTCACCCACAGCCCATGCACACGCCACACTCCCCCACAGCCCATGCACACGCCACACTCCCCCACAGCCCATGCACACGCCACACTTCCCCACAGTCCATGCACACGCCACACTCCCCCACAGCCCATGCACACGCCACACTCCCCCACAGCCCATGCACACGCCACACTCCCCCACAGCCCATGCACACGCCACACTCCCCCACAGCCCATGCACACGCCACACTCCCCCACAGCCCATGCACACGCCACACTCCCCCACAGCCCATGCACACGCCACACTCCCCCACAGCCCATGCACACGCCACGCTCCCCCACAGCCCATGCACACGCCACACTCCCCCACAGCCCATGCACACGCCACACTCCCCCACAGCCCATGCACACGCCACACTCCCCCACAGCCCATGCACACGCCACACTCCCCCACAGCCCATGCACACGCCACACTCCCCCACAGCCCATGCACACGCCACACTCCCCCACAGCCCATGCACACGCCACACTCCCCCACAGCCCATGCACACGCCACACTCCCCCCACATGCCACCCTCACACGCCACACTCCCCCCACATGCCACTCTCACACGCCACACTCCCCCCACATGCCACCTTCCCCCCTTCCCCACTCACATGCTCCGCTCAAGCCTCCTCGCTTCCTGCACGCTCCTAGCCATTGCGGCTCGCACCCGCGCCCTCTCCTCCTCGCCCTCCCGAATGCGCCTCTCAAGCTCTGCCACGTGGCTCTGCTGTCGCATCACCTCCCTGCGATGCGCCTGCACCAGTCGCTGCCTCTCCTTGTCGAATCTGGACAAGCGGCGGGATGGGAGGGACGGAGCGGGGAAAGTGGCGGCGTTGAGCGAGAGCAAGGCTTGATGGGGGATGCAGGGACATGGTGCCGCGTCGACCCCCTTTAATGCGCCCGCCACAAACGCTGCTTCTCCTCAAAACAGCCTAGAAAGGAGGAGAGGGGCTGGGAGGAGGTGCGGTGGCAGGGTTTGAGAGGGAGAGACGGGTGGAGGAGGGGGTTGAGCACCAGGCAGGTCAAACCAATCGCCATCTCCCGCGGAAGCGCCTACACCAGTCATCACCTCCCTCCAATGCACCCGCATGGGCCATGCACTGCACTCACCAATATACATCACTTCATCACAGAGACGCAATCATTGGACTCGTCCGTCTCGCTCGCAACCTCGGACAGAAACACACCTGTCCTGAAACCGTCGCTTCCACGAAACTTCACTCGCCGCATCTCCACTCGCTCGAACCATCGGTTGGAACTTTCCTACCCCCGATGCCAACACGCGCGTCCCCACGCCAAGACACCGCGTTTCCTCATCTCGAGAGTTCATCGCGCCTGCCGACAAGGGCGCGTCGTCTAGAGCATTCCGCTTGCTCCCTACAGATTGTACATCCCATACGCCCACGCCGACCGACCCTTCTCTGCCTGCTTGCGAATGCTCCCTCGCGCCTTGCACGCTTTCCGAACGGACACAACTGGGCCCAGATAGCACTTTACGTGCTGATTTTGACGGTTTCCCGGTGGAATCCGAGCCGCCCCAGTATTTATTCCACGCGGATTCCCACAACGCGTCGCACGAACCGAGCCGCCGGAATCGGCGGGAGGCTAGCGCCACGCAGCAAAGATCGCGATAGCCGAGATTCCTCGCGACGCCTAAGCGGAGAACTGTGAGCCAGAGATCGTCGGGTAGCGTGTTCACGACTGACGTCAAAGTGGTGGCTGATGCATATGCAGTGCGAGTCGTGGAGCTGAGTTATTTTTTAGAGCTGAAATAAACTGGTGTGACTTCCACGCCGAGTCATTCAGTTGAATATCCACTTCACGAGAGGGTATATTGCACACCCGCTTTGACAACTTCGTTCCATAAGAGGACAAACTATATCGGAGAATCTGTGGCTTGGCGGGGGTGCCTGGCTTGCCAATGGTTGGCTGCACGATCTGCGTCCATGGACCAAGATATCAATTCCAACCAAGGGCAATTTCGCGACGCGTTCTGCACGTTTCAATGCGCGGCGCGGTCTCAACACCCCCCCAACCCACCAAACCTCACAACAGGATTGCTGCGTGCATGCTTGGTCGTCACAAACAAATGTTATCACGCCCCTCTCCATGCTTTCCACCACTCTCAACCGATCCCTCCCGTTTGACGATGTGTCTCCTGGCAGCTCTGGCCTATCTTGTTCACTTGTGACAGCAGCGTTGTTGTGACAGCAGCATTGTAACAGCAGCGTTGTTGTGACAACGTTCTTCCATTCCCCCTGCCTACGAAAGCTGCAGGTATCCAGTACGAAAGCGACCGCTTGAAGTAGTGTGCCGACTGGCTGCATGTGTCAAGGCCCTTTCATTAGGTGTATCCCGGGCCGTGTGATGGTCATAAAAAACATAGAGTACTCTCTCCTGTAGCGTTTTCAAATTCTAATAATCTTATCCACTAGTCCGCTTGAGCTGTAGGTTATCTCTTCCCTCGTCAATCGAGCCACGATGGCGGTGGGCTACCACCCCCGCATGGAAGCCCCCTCCGCCATTCCGCGGCCCAGCGGAATACCTACTTTGAGGCACTCGAGCGTTGGCGCCGTCACGGCTGCTGGTCAACGGCACCGTCATGTCGTTGGAACCGACGAGTTGACGGCGGGAACCGCCATTCCCCTGCCAGGAGACCCGGGACCGTTTTACCTGGGCGAGTGGCGGAAGAGCTCAGAGACGCATCAGCACGGGGAACCGCAAAATGCATGGGCGGATCAAAAGGCGGCGGAGGCGCAGCAGGCATGGGAGACGGAAAAAGCATGGGAGGCCCAAAAGGCGGCGGAGGCGCAAAGGGCGGAGGAGGCGGAAAAGGCGGAGGAGGCGCAAAAGGCGGAAGCGGCGCAAAAGGCAGCGGATCTGAAGCGGAGGGTAAAGGAGCTGGAGCGAGCTAGCCGCGAGCAGGAGAAGGAACTGACGTCGCTGAGATCCCAGGTGCGTTCCCCGTGACTCGCGCTCTTGCAGAAGGGTTGCACCCGAGGCCGCCCTGAGAGTATGGTCAGGAATAGCCGCAAAATTACGTACTCAAACAGCAACTGCACGGGAGCGAGGAGGAAGGGTATAAAGCGGTACTAATGTGATAGCTTTTGAGGTGCTCGATGCTCAACGGCTCGGCGCGGCATGCGGTGTTGTAGTGCTCATGTATCTCGCTGCAACGCATGAGTGCCGGAAACACACTTGAGATAGCGGCATAATCCAAGCCGCGTGGAAGTTAACCCAGCATATTCCCGTCTGCTGCGCCACCAAACAAACCATCCTATCATCTTCTCACCATCGGATTTCCCGAGTGGGCGTTTATTATCGGTACGAAAGAGTTAGTTGCCTCTCTTTTCATGCATTTTTCGCCCCCGTCGTTCCACCCGCCGTGCCTTTTGAACAGAAAATTGCAGCAGAGCAGAGCCTTCGACGGGAAAAGGAAGCTTCCGCGTTGCTGCAGCAGTTGTTACAGCAGGAGCGGGAGGCGAAGGCGGTGATGCTAGCGGCGCGAGAGGACGAGGCTGCCGAGATCGACGGAGAGAAACGCGCTTTGATTGCGCGGAGCAGGCAGCTAGCAGCGCGGGTGGAGCGAGCGGAGGAGCGAATGGAGGGGCTGGAGCAGGAGAAGGAGGCCGTCATACTCGATCGCGACGCGATTGCTATGGAGTCGGAGTAAGTCAGCAGTCACGATCTATCCTCATAGGTGGAACAGTGCGCGCAGGTGCCCTGGTGACCATCGACAACGAGAGCGTGAGAAGTGTGAGTTCATAAGCTCATTGCCTGCTTCGCTATTATCGCTCACCTTTCCTGTCGTGTTTTTTTCGTGGCAGGGTGCTGGTGGAGCGACTCGGGGAGGTGGAACAGACGGTGGAGATGCTTCGGCAGGAGAACGTGAATCTCGAGGCAGAGCTGTTGGCCGCACAGCGGTCCCGAGATACGTACTGGACGCACAGTATTTCACTGTACCAGGATAAAGCAAAGTAAGTTGGTTTTACTGTAAACAAAAAGTGGAGGATGTTAGGTGCGACTTCGGGCATATTCTGTGCTGCATAATTCTCTGTAGATGGTCATCAGTAATAACAAAACTGTTTTTGTTTGATACTCTACTCTTGGCAGGCTGGAAGAGCAGTTAGCTCAACTAAGCAGCATCAGCAGCAACCTGGCCAGCTCAGGAGGCCGGACCAAGGCTGCAGCTACTTCGGGAAGGAAAATCCAGACCCCCACCAGAGCAGGAGCAGGTGGTGCAGCAGCAGCAGCGGGTGGCGGGCGACGAAACTCCCTCCCATTTCCTAATCCACGCTCTTCAGCAACTCCTTTCTCCTCCCTAGAGACCTTCACGTCCCCATTTGCACTCAACCCAACCACTCTCAACTCCGTCCCACAGCTGCTGAAGCAGCAGCTCGCGTTTGGCACAGTGTATGAGTGCCCGCCTCTGCTCGCATCAGCGTCCATGTCAGCATCCACGTCACAGCACGGTGGGCTCGACATGGTGCGAGCAGCCAGCATTGCCAGTGGGGCCCCTTGTACTGCTAATGCTGCTGCTGCTGGTGGCGCATTCAGTGCAGCAGGGGGGTTTGACTCAGCAGGCATGCGCAGGAGTGGGAGCTTCAATGCATGCCAGTCATCGTCTTCTGCTCTCCTCACGCGCAGCCTCTCGAGCAACACGGCGGAGCACAGGGCACGGCAGGCCAGCAGCGGCATGCTGGCAGCGGCAGCTGCAGTTAGTGGTGGTGGTGGCAGGAGTGAGATCCTGAATGGAGCTGCAGGCCTGGCTGCCGTGCATGAGGGCCCTGAATGACCCGGTTCGCGCTGATTGGCCCTGAATGGCTTTGAAGCAACAAATACTGATGAGAAAACATAGGCACTGGATTTGTAGGATTGCTCATGTTTGACTGGAAGGAAGCGTGTGGGTGTCCGAGCACATGGAGTGTGGTGGGAGAAAGCCTATGGGAGACAGCAAGCACAGCACAGCACAGCGCATGCCTATGACAGCGGCACTGTCTCTAATGTGTGGCATGCAAGCTCATGGGTGCGAAGGGTCCATATGCTTCAGAATAATGCACTTGAAGGGATTTGCTGATAGCAAAGTGTATACAGGTGCGGCACTTGCCTTTTACGGGAAGGGTTCTGTTGGAGACTTTTTCTTCAACCCTGAGTGTGTCCGCTAATCCCGTTGCTGAACACTTAGTCTAACTCGACAGCCTTTTGAAGTACAATATGGAGGTCTTCACCAGGCCCCCATTTCTCTGATTTACATAAAAAACTCTGATATCTCAGCCTATTTTTTTAGTGGCTTCTAAAACTTCAGACTTTTTTTTTTGTATGCTCTGAAGAATCAGATTTTTTTTAAACGCCTTCTCTGATACGGTATTTCAGATTTTTTTTCGAAAGTGTACTCTGATCCATCAGACTACAAACGCGACCCTACTCTGATTTTAAAACAGAGAGATTTGATGATATCCCCTTGTTGGCACCAACCCAGTTGTTGATTGGTCGTGTCGGAGACTCACCCACCTCCCGTGCCTCCTGCTGGCCTTGCTCTGTGGCTCTCCCTCTTGCTGCTATCTCTCGGTTGTGTGTCTCTCATCTCCTGCCTGAGTCTTTCTCTCAACGGTTCTCTTCCTCTCCTTGTTGTCATTCCCCCCCTGTCATTGGGTCCTTGCTCTCCCCTGAAGTACTCTGTCAGACTGTCACTTACTTCGCTTGCCCCCTCCCATGACCTGCTGCTGCCGTCCTCGCCCTGGTCATGGGACCCGTGTAGTTCCCTTGCTTTTTCTGCTTCCCCGCTGGTGCCACGTTGGTGACATGATCCATCACCCTCTTCCCGTGTCCATCTTCCAGTACCAGAACGCCTGACTCCCGCACTTCCTTCACTTCCCACCTCTGCTGCGACACTCCCACATCCAGCCCATCTCGCTTCGCCCGCCTCACATACACTGCTTGTCCCGCTTCCACCGCTGCCTGCTTCCCTTGCATCTTGATCAGCTGCCGTTGCTTGTAGCGGTGTATGTCCCGCAGCTGTGCCACCTTTAGGCTCTCCATGGCAGCAGGAAGCATTTTCTTCAAATACTTGGCTCTGGCATCCGCCAGCGCCACCCACTTCTCTGCCGTCCTTGCTGTAACACTGTCCACCAGCAGCCTCGGTGCATCCACTGGTAGGATGGGCTGCTTCCCAAAAACCAGGTAGTACGGGGAGACATCTTTCAGCGACGCCTGCTTGCTGAACCTGTACCCTGCCATCACCCACGCCAATTTCTTATCCCAATCTCCCTTGTTTGCCTCTCCGTAGGCTCTAATTCCCCTTTTCACTGTCTGCACCAGTTGCTCTGTTAGCCCGTCACTCTGGGGATGGTGCCTGGACGTCGTGCGATGCTGGATCCCATTTTCCGCTAGCAGTTCCTTGAACTCTCCTTGAAACTCTGTCCCCTGGTCCGTAAGGACCTCCCCGCACGCCCCACACCTGGTCAGCACCATCTCCTCGAATGCTTCAGCCACCGCCTCCGCTGTCTTCGCCACCAGGGGACTTGCCTCAGCCCACTTGCTCACGTGCTCTATCATGAGCAAGACATATCTCCTGCCTCTCCGCAACACTGGCAGTTCTCCCGCAATGTCCAGGGACCAGCGGTACCCGAGCTCTACTATGGCCAAAGGCTGTAGCTCTACCTGGCTCTTCAACAGGCTGGCTTTGTTCCTGCAGCACAACTCACACTGCTCCACCCATTCCTTCACCTCCTTCCTCATCCCTGCCCACCACCATCCAGTCTGCAGCAGCTGCTGAGTCCTCAGCGGCCCATAATGTCCCAGCTTGCTGTGTACTTCTCGTATGATGCCTTCCCTTTCTGCTGGCGCTGGCACCCTCTTCCACCCATCCTTTGTCTGCAGCTGCACCTGCCCCTGGAACCACCTGTAGTGCTGTCCCCGCGCTCTTGCCCTTGCCCCTGCTCCGCCGTCCTCTGCCGTCTCTCCCTTAAACCATGCCATCGTCTCTTTATCCTGCCACACATCCGCTGCCCCTCTCTGCTGCTGACCTCCCAGCCGCTGCTCTCTCACCATGGCGGTAAGAGCCGCCGACGGTAGCTCCTGCTCTGGTCCCTGCTTGCCCTCTCCGCGGGGCGGGTTCCTTGATAACCCGTCCACGTGTTGCATCGTCTTGCCCGGCCGATGTTTCACCGTAAAGTCATATTCTTGCAGCTTCATCGCCCACCGTGCGTTCCTGCCTGTGAGTGTCTGGTTGTGCATTAGCCACAGTAGGGGCTGATGGTCTGTCACTAAGGTGAAGTGCCGCCCTTGCAGGTACACCCTGAAGTGCCCTACCGCCCAAACTGCCGCCAGTCCTTCCCCTTCGTATGATGAGTAGTTTGCCTCCGCCGGGCTGCAGGTTCTGCTGGCGAATGCCACCAACTTCTCCACCCCTTTGTCCATCTGGCTCAGCACTGCCCCCATCCCGATGCTGCTCCAGTCGGTGTAGAGTGTGAATGGTTGCTGCCCATCCGGTAGCTTCAGCACGGCCCTCGTCTTTACCGCTTCCATCAGCCCGCGTAGTGCCTTCTCCTGTGGCTCCTCCCATCGCCATTTCTGTTCCTCCTTAAGCAGCATGTTTAAAGGTGCTGCCTTCTTGCTGAAGTCCGCTATGAACTTGCGATAGTAGCTGAGACATCCCAGCAGCGCACGCAGGCTGGTCCGATCCTTGGGTTTCTCCAACCAATCTAGCACCTCGACCTTGGCCCTCTGAATGCTGAGCTCCCCTCCTGTCACCTCAAACCCCAAGTAGGCCACACTGTTGTGTCCGAAACAGCATTTTCCCGGATGGCAGGTCAGCCCCGCAGCCTCAATTGCCGTCAGGGTTGCTTCCACATCTCGCACGTGAGTCTCCGCATCTGAGCTGAAGATGATAACGTCGTCTATGTAACACGCCACGCAGCTCACTCACCTCAACACCATGTCCATCACGCACTGAAACACCGCCGATGCGTTGCGTAGCCCGAATGGCATGTAATTCCACTCGTACAACCCATCTGGTCCGTGGAATGCGGTTTTCTTCTTATCCTCCTCCGCTATAGGGATCTGATTGAAACCCTGCCGCAGGTCCAGTGTTGAGAACACCCAGCTGCCGTATAGTTGATCGAAGATCTCTTCGGCCATGGGCATTGGTTACCCGTCTGTCGCAGTCACCTTGTTCAGCCCTCGATAGTCTCCACACATGCGTCGGGATAGCACCGTACCTGTCAGGTCAGTCCTTGCTGCTACCACCGTGGCTGCTGCGTAATCGGATGATGACCGTCGGATCAGTCCTGCGGACAGCAACTCTTGACACTTCTCCATACAGATGCTGATATCCTGCGGGCTCATCCGTCTCCTCCTCTGGTACACCGGCACCTCGCTGCTCAAAGGTAGGTGCATGGTGCTAGTGACGCATTTCACCAACTACTGCAACTTGTGTGCAAATGCAGCTGCATGCTGTCACAGTACGGCCTCCAATCTCAGTGCCGTTTCCCCACGCATGGCTCCGCCTATGTCCCATTGAGTCCCTTGCACCTGTGGCCGAGTTTCCTCTAGTCCCTCTTCCTCTCCTGCTTCTCTGAGCGCCGCTGTCCCCTCACGCCTCTCGTCTGCCCCCACTTCTTTGCCAGATCCTGGCCCTTCCTCCCCATCCTCCTCTTCGATCCGACTAGACATGTATGCACAGCTAGGCCCCAGGAAGACTTCGTCCGGATCAGGAATCCATCTTTCGGTGGGGTCCTCCTCCTCTTCTGGGTCCCAATCCATCTCTGGCTCTCCTTCCCACCACTCCTCTTCTTCTTCTTCCTAATCTGGATATCGCCCTGGTATTCCCTCTCGGTCGTTCAGCCTGTCCCTCCTCTTCTCCTGCGGCACTCCCTTCCTCCTCATTTCCCATGCCTCCTCTTCCAGATGCTCGAGCAGGATTTCTGCCTCCTCCTCCTTTATCTCGTCGTCCCGGGCCTTCGGATTTGCCCTCGCTACGTGGTCCCTCCGTCGCTCCAATCGATTCCTCTCTAGGTGTCTGTCCATCGTGCCCACCAGCCAGTGCAGGGCGTTGAGGTCCATTGTGTCAGAAGAGTAGATTAATCTTAGGTGCCATGGCTAGGTTTTCAGGAAGACGAGAGTAGCGAGGGAGAAGTGTCACCAACAAAAGAGGTTGTTCACTATAGAGCGAGCAGTACAAATAAGCAAGAATGAAGAAAGGTGCACCACCAAACAGAAATTTATATGACTACAGCGTTCTACACTACAGGCAGTTATAGAACAATATATAGAATTATATATTATTCTGACACGCCCCCATAAGTGCCTGTAGGGAAGAATGTGCAGTCAACGCCCCCATAATGGAGTACACCAGACAGGGTGGAGCGGAAGAAACAGTAGCAGGCAAGAGCAGTAGTAGCCGGTGCAGTAGTGGCAGATACAGCTGTAGCACACCCCCCCAGCCAAGGTAGAAGCAGTAGCAAATGTAGGGGCGGCAGGTCGCCTGAGGAGCAGGCTCTGTGGCCGCAACGTGCAGCAGGACAGCAGCGGCTCGACGGCAGCACCTGCAGGCCCCAGCAGCAGACAGCAGAAACAAGGGCAGGTGGCGGCAGGGGCAGCAGCAGGAGGTGCCACGGTAGCAGCGGGCGTCAGCAGCAGATGCCCGGCTGACTTCCGCCACCCCCTCTCACCCTCCCCCCCACAGCTGCAAGCGCGGCAGTGAGAGAGAGAGGAGGGGGGACGGCTGTTGGTGCTGCAAAATCTCTCTCGCCACCCCCTCACACTCCCCCCCATCCCCCACAGCGACTGGCGCTG